CATGATGCACTTTGAGGGCACGTCCAGATGAGTCCACCCTGAGGGCACGTCCAGACCTGTCTTCAGCACCGTAAACCTCACATTCTGCACATGCAGGCATTTGCCACGCTGCTAATTTACAGCACAGTGAATTTTTTTCAACACCAGGAGATCACAGTGTCAACCCCCCTCCTCCCCCCCATGTCTTATAAAAAGTGGGTTGGCACATGGCATACCGGCAATGTGTGCCACCCAAAATTGGAACCCAGCTGGCCAGAGCCACACTCCAGCTGCCAGCCAGGGTCCATGCACCACATTGCCACCACTGCAGCCCTGAGAGGTCCCTAGGACAGGCTGCTGGGGCCAGCCCAGGTCCTGGCCCCAGCCTCCCCTACCCCACCTAGGGCAACTTGCCATGCACTAGAACATACATGCATGGGTGTTCCCCTAGGACAAGTAGCAGTCCCTGGGGAAACACACATGTGCACTCATCTGGACACACCCTGACTGTCCACATGTACAGTGACTTCCTAGACAGGATACCAAAGCAGACCCTGTTGCTGGTCTTAGGCACAGAGAGGGACAAGAGGGCAACAGGTTCACTGCTCTCACTGCCATTCATGGATGAAGGGGTAGGAAGCAATAAACACAGTATGTCTAGCAAGCTTGGGCAGCAGTGAGATGAGAAACTCCATCTCATTATTTCTGGACTCAGAGATCTGAGGAGGGAGGCTGGTTTCCTCCACTGCCTCTCAGGCTGTAAGACAAGTCAGACTAAGCTCTGCCTCTGCATAGAGTCTGTGCTGTGTTGGCAAGACAGGGCTGAGATTGCACTGAGTAGGAAATAGGGCCTTTCCTGATTGTGAGGGAGTGGAGGGGGTGGGGCAGGAGGTTAGCTCCCCAGTAATAGCCACCTGAGGGGCAGTGGAAATTTCCAGGAAGGGTCTGGGCTTGGCTCTATGCTCCTGGGTTTCAGCCCCAGTAGCAAGAATCAGGATTTCTCCTGAATGGGAGGGTGGGGTTGGGGAGGATGAGAGTCTGATTCTGTAGTGCCAATAGCCCCAGAAGAGATTTGGATGCACCAGGGGCAGGGAAGGCTTAATTCCTCCATTCTGTTTCTTATTTTGGATTGAGATGGCCTTGTAGATGGAGAGCAGTGCATGGATCAAGTTGTCTGCTTCTGCAGCAGACACTGACCATCCAGGTAAGTGGGACTACCACAACAAAAGTATACCGTCTCTCCCTTGGATATATGTACCGTGTGCTCACCTCATGTATATTGCAAAGCTTCTCTCAAGGACTTGGCCCCATCCTTCAGGATCATAATGACCTGTCTCCTGAAGGACAGGGCATGCTCAAGTTCAGGGGCCTTACAGCCAAGCATGATTCTATGAGTGGGGCTCATTATATTACCAAACATGACAGATCCTCAGTCAGCCTGTCATTGTTGAGAAACGGTGGAAGGGGAAAGCAGGGGAGACAGCAGGATCCTTATGGCCAGGGTGTCCAAAGGCATCATGGTGACAAAAACACCCATAATTGCGATGCCATGCTCTACCACTTTGTTTACAAGGCTTAGAGCACTCATACAGTGTTGACCTGGATAGGATATCTGATGTTTTTGTAGCTTCCCAGCTTCTCAGATGCATTCCCCCATCCTAACAGAGACAGGGGTGAGGAGTCACAGGCCTTGGGTGCTTGAGAGATACAAAGATTCCTTTGCAGACTGAGGCTGTGTGTTAGATCTGGCTGGCATGGAAAGCGTTAACAATAGAAGTCTCTGATTCCTGTAGTGGGGGAAGGGCTATCTGGATGAGGGGTGGAGGGGATAAGGGAGCAGGCAAAAGTAAAAGTTTGAAAATAAACAGTAAAAAAGATAGGTAGAGGAGGGAAATAAGGTAAAAACAGAACATCTTAAAAGGAGCAGGAGTGACTTGGAAGAGGCTGCCAAAGCCCTAAGTTTGGCTCTGCAGGGCAGGGGGTGGGGGAGGGACATGCCAAAACATAAATGGGTAAAAAAACACAAACAAGGAGGGAAAATAACATGAAAAAGACAGACTCTAACTCAGGAGGGAATGAGACAGCGAAAAAGTTCAAAGGCATGTAGCAGGCATGCCTTATGAAGATGGGGTTCAGTCCCAGGCTTGAAATCTTGCTGTTTTGATTGATGGAGCTCATCCTCCAATCAGGAGGCAGCAAGAGGAGTTCAG